TAGTGCGTTTTGAAACCTATAAATAAAAAGTGTCGCAACTGATCTGTCCACGACTATACGTTTGAATTCGCTGCAAGTCTCCCAGAGACTCTCCCCCTAGAATTCTATTGGGAATAAACTGCGAAAAAAATGCATTAATGTCACACTCAGAGGAAAATATTATAGTGACAACTATATAGGTATTAATACATGTTTTATATATAGAATTAATGTTGAATAAACTAATGTATATAGTTACATTAAATGTTTTATTGTAACTATAAAATAGATTATATATGTTACAATAGTTTATATCATATGGAAAAAATGATTTTATTGGTAGGTTTTGCATACAGGTTTTGGATACAGAGCTGAAAATAATTTTGTTGCAAGTGCAATGAAATTAATTGCTAAAAAGTAACAAAACGTTTTGCAATACTTATCATTTTTGAGTTTCCAACAAAATTATTTCAATGGTCCGACAAAATTATTTTCAGATTAGTATTCAACAAAATTTTTAGATCTTCCAGCAAAATCGTTCTTTCCATGCATGTATAATAAACAGTAAACTATTTTATAATTATTGCATTTATATAGTTTTTCATTCAATTGTATATACATTAGTTTATTCATAACTATGTGTATTAATTCTTATATGTATAAAACTTGTATAGTTGACTATGCAGTTACTATATGACTCTTTTTTGTTGTGAGAGCAATTATATCGCTTCAATTTTGAAATCAGTATTCGTATGTATGAGCTTTTTGACATATTACTTCTGTTGATATAGATAACAAGCGTTTTACTCTCGCCGTTTACCTCTCCACGTCTCGGCGGGCGGTACACTAACGTTAAGGGATTAAGGTCAGCGTGCGATTGCGACGAGCGACGTGCAACGTCGGTCGGAGTGTGAAATTCCCCGTATTTGCATTTTTTAAACGAGCGGAGCTCGTATGAGGCGATAAAATGCGAACGAGCGAAAGTTTCAAAGATTTACTCGCGTATACGTATCCTTAATCATAATAATAATATGCGAAACACACTTTTCGCGTATACGCGTGTATCTGGAACACCGCGAACACATTTCAAACGCGTGCATGCGTCTGACATAAATATTTGGCTTCCGAAAATGCAAAATAATATCCTTTATTTTATACCGCATCAAATTGCTCAGAGCAATTTGTATTTTGGTCCATTATATTTTCAACAGCCTTCTGCGTTTGAAATATATTTTTACGCAATATTTTGACTCGTTCCGCCGACGATAAATATTTTTTCAATTGCGTCCCATGTTACTTGTGTTGTTTTTTGGCCAACGAAAAAAATGTATTATTGGAAGAAAGAAAACACGCACATCGAGACCGGGCGTTGCACGGTGAACGCTCGTTAAACGATTCGATCGAAGCGCGAGTCTCTCCAAGAGAAACTATATAGGCTTGCGATTGCGCGCAATTTACAACGCATACGATTACGAAAGCTAAAAGCGTATTCCGTTATCGAAATAAAAACTGGCCTCCGTGACTGGCTGCGAGAACAACAAAAAGGAAAAAAAAAGAGAAGAAACGACGGGAAAAACCGATGTATATGTACTCGTGCGCTCGATGACACGAAGCCATCGATCGCCACTCGAATTCGCTCCGCGGTGTCGCGAACAATGGGCCGTCGCGTCGGTATAGGAAACGAATATAAGCGTGTGCAATCGATTCCTTCGTACGCCCGGCACGACGACTCTCGAGGAGGAGAGACCCGAGCCGCGATATTACGAGCAGCGATATATTACGGCATTACGCTATTATGAACTGTGTGCGAGTCACGCGAGATAACGCGGTCGTATTAAATTATTAACCCGTCTTAAACCCGTCGCCTTGGTATTACCGTGGCCGTTAAATTGTCGAGAAGCCGGAGGGAAGAAAGGGGCAACGATAGTGGTATCACGCCCCATCGCCGAAGAGGCTTCGCGTTTCCTTTTTAACAAGAAGGCAATCCTCTTTTAACCGCGTCATCGCATCGGTTTAAACTTTTGTCATCTGACTTGTTTCATTCTCGATATTATCGTCGTCGTACCGACGAGTGTTTGCGTTTTGCGGTTTTTTTTTCTTCTGCACACCACGGTCGTGGCTGTTTGTCAGTATTGTACTTTGACTGATAATCGATGGAAGACATGTCTGTTAAGAGCCGCGTGCTTTCGCAATATTTTAAAATGGGTGGCGCGCTCTTTGCCATTTATTAACACTCACGAACTATACATATGTAAATTCCGCTTCGCTTCATTTTAAATAACTGATACTTGGACCATTATTTTTTCTCGCGAGCCCGTCACCCGACTGTCATCCCATTGACTTCACCTTAATCTCCGCGTCGAAGAGACCCACGCGTATTTTGTATTCCGCTTCGCTTCATTTTAAATAAGTGATACTTGGACCATTTGTTTTTTCGCGAGCCCGTCACCCCGTTGTCATCCCACGTTGTCTCCACCTCAACCAGTTCACAGTAATTCTGCGGAAATTGTATGTATGTACATGACTGGCCCACGGGCGAGAAAGTTACTCGCGAGTGTGTTTCGCGTGTCAAAAGTTACAAACGACCGTCCGCCAGTCCCAGCGAGGGGAACAAAGACAAGATCGAACAAATTGGCCCCGGAATCCCCGTCTGTCGCTGGCGACGGCGATGTGAACAACGAACTTCGCCCAGCTTTCGTCCGTCGATCGTGAGCCGACCGACGACTCTTGTAATCGCTCAGATATGGTCGAATGGAATCGTCTCGTAAAACTCGCTTCCGATAATAATAATCTTTCGAGTACAAGAAACGTTCAAGTTTCACGCTGGACACGACGACAATGAACCGTCGACGTTAAGCTTACATTTACGTTGTCATTCATTGACTTTGACGCAATTTTATCGTTTTTCTAATCGCATCGAAAATACATTGTATTGTAAACTGTCCAAACAAACGACAGCTTCGCGACGGCTAAGCTGAAAAATGGAGCATTTGAAACTTTCTCGCAACTGTTTTCCGCAAACGTTCGATTCGCTTTTTCGCGAAATATCTACGCTAATTAATAACAATAGCTCCCGATGAGATGCTGAATACAGTTTAATTTTGTTTTTTTACTGCAAACGGAGGAAGAGAATGGAAAATCGTATTTCATAAAAAGTCAATTTCAAATTAAAATTTCTTCTAATAAAAGAATTTAAAACAACATTTTTTTAAATTTCTTATATGTCAAAATATGTCAAAATTTAAAAACTGCGTGCATAATTAAATGTCAAAAATATTTAAATGTTAAAAAATATATATACATGTATGTATATCTTAGCGAGTAAATACTGTATATTAAATAAAACAAAAGAAATTTTAGTATCAGTAAATAATAATTAAAAAATTAATATTTATTTCTTAAATTTCTTCAATTTTGACGACTTGGAAAGAAGGATTAGTATCAAATGAAAGAATAAAAAAAATTAATCGATAACAATACCACTCATGAACACATTTGTAATCGTTTTGTTCGAAAGAAATGACGTTAGAATTTTCTAGCATTTAAAACGTCAAATCACTGGTTTGTGAAGTTTTCTTTGTCATGCGTTTCCAATTATATTAATTAGTAGTTTGTTGCTCCTAAACTCCAACGATGTGGAAAATGCGTAATAATTTTCAACGGTCGTACCTGCATTTAGTTCCCGCAAAAGGAAGGTCACCATTAACGGTATCAAACAGGATTATGTAGAGAATGGCGGCGTAATTAATTTAAAGTTTATTAGTGGAGAGAAAGAGAGAAATGTATCGATAAAGAGAATGTGTTCCGTGTTATTGCACTTTATACTTAACTGTAGCAAGGGAAGCTGTAAAAAGGGGAACTTCATAGAAACACTAAATCTCCAATAGAAGTACAGCTGTAACACGTAACAGCTCCACTCCAATTAAAGATACTGGAAATCCGCTGCTCCGCTATTGTTTCCGCTCGCAATAACAATTCGAGTTACGTTCCTGCAGACAATCCGAATTGAGGCCATATTTCTCAGCGCGGCTTAGCAACGCTCGATTTATTTTATGTTAAATTCGAGACATCAAGCGAATCCAATAACGATGATCTCTCTTTCTCTCTTTCTCTCTCTATTTTTCCACAAATGGTTATATTTCTTACGAATTACTCCGGGCAAAGTCCTCGAGCTTTTCACTTGTGCACGCGAGCGTAGGTGCGTGTACATTTGTAATACGAAATCGAGACACTCGAGGGAGTAGAGGAACAATGAGAGAAAAACATCAGGAATAAAATACGGCTGTAAAGAGAGATCGGAGATTTGAAGTGACGTGTTTTTTGCAAATGAAAGGACCGGAAGCGCGTCTCCGGATGTACTCTGCACGCGTACTGTATATACGCGCAGTGCGTGCGGCCGCGAGTTTGCCAAATGTTGCGTAATGAATAATACAGTTGCGAAAGAAAAAAAATTCCAACGCGCGCATATCGCGACGCGACGCGACGTGACGCGGCGCGGCGCGACGCACATGCAGCTCGACGCTCTGCAGGCGCACCTTAGCGTATCTCCGCGCGTGTAATTTAGCTAATTAAAGTGGGCAACGACAGGCAGGCACGACGGAGGATTTACACGGAATGCGGAAAGAAACTAATAACTATATTATCTCGCAGATCAGAGGTGTCTCACGCGTATCTCGCGCGCGCACATACACACACACACACACACATGCGTATAATACGTGCACGGTGTCGCGTATACATGGTATCCCGAAATTCGCGAATCAAAATATTACAGCAAGAAAAGCATCGAAAAATTGAGTAAAAAAGTTATTCGTAAATTTTTACTTTAACAGTAGTTTTTGAGACATATATAAGGGTTTAAATTTAGCCAATTATAGATTAGTACGCGCGTGAAGTGCACGACTAGTAACACTATCGACGCGCTTACGGATATGTTTCCGTTTAACCGTAATCTATAATTGGCTAAATTTAAATTATTATATCTCAAAAACTACTGCTTAAAATAAAAAGTTACAAATAGCTTTTTTACTTAATTTTTCGAAGACTTTTGTTGCTATGATATTTTGATTCGCAAATTTCGGAACACCCTGTATATTCGTCTGTGAAGGGACATGAAGAAAGTCAAGTTTGAAAAAAAAGAACCGGTAGAGCGTGCCGCTTCATTCGCCGGAGCATTAGTATTATTGTAATTACATGATATCAAAATCATTTCTCTTTTATTACACCTACAGCTGTAACGGCAGCCCGCGGAATCTAGTTCCTGGATAATGAATTTAAAGTGAGATTGCATTACCTTCACTTCGCATCTTGTTCACCGAGACGACCCTACTGCACAAGCTAAAATGTCGCGCGTATATAATAATTTCAAATACATTGAGTTGAACGATAATTCGTTTCGCTCTTTTTTTTTTATTTTTTTTTTATTTGTACTAATGCCATTTTTCTTAGCAAAAAGCGAAATAAACTTTCGTTCCGAAACCCAATAGCATATTGGCTGCGTTTTATTTTTAACGCTCGCAACGCTCGCAAGAGCGTTATTTGGCCTCGTTTAACATTTACATAAACAACGTTTAACATTTAACGTAAATAACAAGGATGAAATAATTCCGAGCGTTGCGAGCGTTAAGTGAAACCCTGGCGAAAATAAAGATTGGAGCGTAAGTCGAATGTACGTCGAACGAAACTTCTAGGAGGCAAAAATTGGAACAACCAAACGTAAAAGAACTAAAGAAGCGTTTACGCTTCTTTTGCATTTTTGCTGTTCAAATTTTCGCTTCTTAGACTGCGTTCCATTTAACGCTCGCAACGCTCGTTTTTGTTTAATTAACATTTGCTAAACAACAAGGATGAAATGATTCCAAGAGCGTTGCGAGCGTTAAATGGAACGCACCCTTAGAAGCTTCATTCACGTTTCTGTCATTCTTCCCTTGCAATCAATTTACGTTCGGATTTTTATTTTCGCCAGGGATCGCAGCCGTTGAGAAAAGAGAGAGCGACCCCAAATTCTCCAAAATGTCCGTAGTCTAAAAGAAACATGCAAAATTTCAGACATAATCTCTGTGTGTTATATCAGTGATTCTCGAAAGTTCAACGTCGCTCATGCGAATTGTCACTTTTATTTAATACCCGGCGCGAAAATGGAATTGGTGTTCGTGTGGCAAGTCCTCCGGAGATATCTCGCCCCCCTGTCCACTTTTTTTCTTCCGATAACTCGTTCGCAAATTCGTCGATTCTCTCCCCCCTCCCTCCCCCCGGCGGTGTTAACGTTTCGCGCTGTTGCGATCGATCGGGCCGATATGGCGATCGTTAGGAAATTAATTGCTTGTCGCATGGGACGACCTTTCGCGGCGGGGCGATTCGATTCGCCTGCTGGCGGCGTCGTGTTACGTTGCGTTTCGCTGCCTGATATCGGAGCCCTTTAATTCTCGGGGAACGGGCAATCTCGCGGGCGGGAGGGCCGGCGGCGTGGCCGGGGAGGCGACCCACTTATCTCTCTCACGACCTCTCGCGTATTTCAACGACGCATACGTTGCATCGTTTAACTTTCCCGACAGCTGCGCATTTTTGCATTTCGCGGCTTTCGATTGTGTGTAACGTGTGTAGCGGGCGAGATGATATACGATTTAGATTCCTTATTTAATGAGAATATAATGCCCAATTATGCAAAGTAAATATTTTCGGATGAGGGAAATTGCTCGCGCGTTCTGTTATTAATATAAACAGAGAGAGGGGATCTTCATCGTAAACCGATATATATATATGAGTACCCGCGTGCTTTCGTAATATGCGACTGTCGGAAAGCTGAAAGGCTCTCAACTATAGATCATCGACTTACTCTATTCGTTGCACTTGATCTTATTCCTTGAATCGCTTTAATAATGATTTATGGCGATCCTTTTATTAGAGATAAATCATCACGATTCTGCTTAGAATCTCGCGTTCTATTTTACGCATGCTACTTCCTTTGAACTGAATATAACGACCAGAGATATGTTTGATTTTCCTTTTAGTGTAGTGGCTGTCAGTTGTTAGAGAAAAATGTTGAAGGCGCTTCAGCGTTTTGAAATAAATAAAATTACTTGTAAATACAAAGTAGGGTCATATTAAAATAAATGATAATAAAATTATTATTAAAATTGAAGTTTTTGATAAACTTGAATGGGGCGGAAATTTTTCGATACACGACCATGATATTCTACTAACAATAAGTATTTTGCTATATTGCTTCACAACATAGTGATTATTAAAACTATAAATTTATATTAATGGTCCTTAAGCCGTAAATTCTTAAATATTTCAACACAAAAAATTTACAAATAATTTTATGTCATATTGAAAAGATGGCAAAAGATTGGCAAGAACAATATTATATAGTCACTATATTTTCAAATCTAATACACTACAAAATGTAGACTTAACATAGTTAAACGTCTACGAACAAAATATAAAAAACTTTATTCATATTAAAATGTATTCCGGTAATAAGCGTGGATTATATAGACAATCATATACATATAACCGGTTGGAAAAATCTCTTTCTAAAAATGAATTAAAAATCACATCCGAAGTTTCAAATTTCCACTCTAGCTCTTGGTTTTCTTTGCGTAAAATGTAAATTTTATTTATCCAACGTATAACTACCGAATCCCTCGCCAAACGTTGAACGCGTTGCAATTTCTCGCATTAAATTCACCGATGTATTATCAATGAAAATGATTTGAGAATCACTGTTTTAATGGATACTAGAGGAACCGCAACGGAAAGCTACCTGCTCTACATCTACTATCGCTCTCTATCTCGGGGAATTCGGTATATACGAGATTTTAGTCAAAATTGCTGAGCGCGCGAAAGGGTCAACAAGCCCATCCACTTGCTTGAAGCGCGGTTGAAGATCGCCGGGATCCCTCGCTTCGGTTCCTCGATGGGAAAGCTCGAAATTTCATACAAAATTGGAATGCAAAATATCGGTGTAAATATAATCGCGCGCGTTTTGTTATTGTGAAAACTGCGGTGCGGAATGAGACAAAATAGCTCCCAGCAAACATAGATTATAACTGCTACATTACAGCAATATTGTAATATTTCTGCAATATAGCTGGAATGTTATAATATTGCTGCAACATTGCAGTTATAATCTGTGTTTGCTGGATACATTATGATACGTATAGGCGCGCGTATTCCTCTACAATTATTCACCCATAGAGTAGATAATTCTACCTCGTCACGGAGTCGCTCTTTTGCCGCTCGCATTTAGGCCGCGAGCGACACGAAACGAACACGGTCGAGCGGACGTGATAAGGATCGATTCCTTTTCTCCTTAACGGTCACTCGGTTGTGTACGATAGCGCACAGGTTCCATTTTGTATAGTAATCCACGCTGATTGCTGCCCTGATCGGTGTCGCAGTTTCACTTTACTTCTTACCGGCATTTCACTTTACGACTTCTTCGGGCGCGCGCGAACGCGTATTCATCGCGTTAACGACGCCCACGCGCTCCTTCGTAAGATACGCGCCAAGCCAATCCACCGTGGCCTATATTTACGCGTTACGGTAATCACGAAGATTGTTCACGCTCTTAACTTCGGGATTAAAAACATTTTATCACTTACTCGGCCGGAATTTATAGGAGCTATGAAAAGTGTGCTCAACGATCAATCTCTCTTAAAACATTCGATTATAGATTCGCAATGGAAAAGCGCTAACTCGGACAGATCTAGATTATCGCAGCGCGTAAATCAGGTGGCAATTGAAGAGAATCAGCCGTGCTGGCAATGGAAAAATAAGTTCGAGACCGTCGGCTTAAAATCCCGGATTGGGAGTACCGTTAAAACCTCGCGACGTCTCGCGAGAGCGGAATAAAAATGACCTGCGTTATAGCGTCGATTGATCGGGCGCCGTGTGCGCTCCCGCGTCAGAAATACAAAAAGAATTACGTCATGCGTACAGAGAGATCGAGCTATATAACAACGCACGACGCACGGGAAACGCGGACCGGAAAGGTCGGCTACTTCGTTAGAAAGCGATACGCACGTGCCTCCTCTTGTTCCCCGCGAAAAGTTGAGTACGGAGTGGTCGATACTTGGCCTTTCTCTTCCCCGACGAGAGTCACCTCGTTGACTGGGCACCTCTCCCTCTTCCCAAACCCGTATTAGAAGACTGCTCCGAAGCGTAAGACGTTTTCAATGGAAGATCCGTGCTCGCTGCTCCAGATCATTCCGGGATCGAGACGATCGTCCAGGGGCACCCGACGCGACGCGACGGGGCTCTTTCTTCTTCTTTACAGAACGTGCAGATTCTCGCAGCTCTTCGACTTGCTGTCGCGCGCCCAGACCTTGTCGAGCAGATTGCGCACCTTCAGGCTGGTGCTGGTCCGGCTGCCGCGATACTTCTTAGGCGAGTTGTTCTCCGAGCACGAGCCCAGCGGCGACTTGCTGCGGTTCTTCCGCGACCGCTTACGGAACATCTCCCGGGTCCTCTCGGGATTCTCCAGCTTCAGGCGGATCTGCGTGAGCAGGCCGACCAGCAGCTCGTCGACGTTGTGATTAATCCCGACGGACGTCTCGATGAACTTGCAGTCGTAAGACGTCGCCATGGATTTACCCTCTGTAACGATAAAATCGATTAAACCGCGGTGATGGTACCGCGCGCCCCAAAAAGTCCTTCGTGAGTGGGCACGCGATATGTACCACGTGTGTGCAACACGATGAATAAATCTATCTCAATTTCAAATTGCATGAAGTGATTGAGAATCATCTATCCACTTCTGCGATTTTCGAATGAGTGCACTCCAATCCAAAAGTTTGGAAACACCGATGAAAATGCAGATAAATTATATGACGCATCGATAAACTAGATGAGATACCGATAAATACGCTGAAAACTATGTTTTTGGTTTTATGTGATGATTATTGGATCTGAAGAATTATTGTTTCAATTTAACACGATAATCTACGTAGAGAAATACTGTATACTTTTGTTTAAAAATATATTTATTATCAAAGAACATTGGTTTTACACAAAATTAGAATCTTTTATAATAATTTTTCCGCGTACATACATAGAAAAATACCATCAATTTTTATATTAAATTGTAATCATGAAGTTAAATACATTAATTATTAACGTTAAATACATTAATTATTAACGTAATAAAAAAATATTTTAAAAACTTATCGCGTTTTCTAATTTAAAAGAAATATATTGTTATAAATATTTGAGTGAATAATCCCAAAAATGTCAATTTTTAAAAAGTGTTTTCAAACTTTTGGCAGTGTATAAAATAAATTATTTAAACATCAATCAATCAATAACAAGTTAAATAATAAATTCTATATTAAAAATTCTCAGAACACGTTCTTCATTTATCTGATTTATCTAACATTATTGTTCTGCAAATTATTTGAAATGTGAAAGTTGAATGTAAAAGTTGTTCTATATAATTTTAGAAAACATTTAAGATTCAGAGAACTGCGATATCGCTCCGTCGAAATAATTTGTTTAAAGAAGCGAAGACACCGTATTCGCGGAATTACTTGATCGAGTAAGCTCAAGCTGAATAATCGCGCTAATCATCCACAGGATAATATTCGCGTTTCCTCATCGCATGTGGCACAATCACGCCTCGATAAATAATAAAATAATAACGGCTCGCACGGCCGCTACCTGCTTGTTTGAGTCTCGTTGTGCGAATGACAATACCAGTGACTTTGTGTTTGCCGTATCAAACACCAAGGCCGTTCAGCGAACGTTGAATATCTCGAGGCCTTGATTGAGGCGTGCAATCTTGAAGTTTGTTTTGTTGCGTGCTACACGACGTATGTATGTACTTACATATACGCAATGCCGCCGCGCGTCGTGTTATCATTTTCGCGATGGGACTCGGGCGAAGAGACGACGACGGTGCGTGCCACCGCTATTTCGTCGCGTTATCTCTCAAGACGTGATCGTGACAACTGTACACGGAGAGAATTTTTTTTTAATTTACCCTGCAAATTATGTTAATTGTGGGACAATATAGTATTTAGGCAAATTTTACTGTGCACTACAATAAGTATTTTGCAATAAAATTTATTATAGTGCACAGTAAAATTTGCCTAAATACACTATATTGTCCCACAATTAACATGATTTTCAGGGTAAATTAAAAAAAATTCTTTCCGCGTAAAAACGCGATTATTCTCTAAATGATTTTTGGATAATTCAAAAGATTGCTATCCTATGCGAAAGATGATTTTTCTTGCGATACGCTCTCTAATAATAGAGTGATTTCGCCAGTAATATATTAGTGTGACTGCGATTGTCATTCTAATTTGATTGCAGACACTCGTAAAAAGATTGACGATAAAATGATGACTCTACCAGAATGCCATTCTAAAGTGTAGAGTGATATAAAATTCATTCATATGGATACTGATCTCTGCATCCGAAAAGAGTGTACTTTCGCTCAAATGGAATGCGATTTCACACCAATTACAGAGTACAATTTCACTTTTTGTTACATTTGTATTTGAACCGTGTTTTGGCTCGTTTTTCTTCGAATTTTAGAGAGCAAAAATTCTCCTCCCAACTGTTTCTCCCTCGCTTTCAGATCTTATAACTTTTTTCCTATTTATGATTGAAAATAGAAATTTACGTAGTTCGCTTAAAGCACACTTTGACGTTTCGAAAAAAAAGTTTCAAATATTAATGTTTGCCTGAGTTACCAACGAATGGAGATATTAAATGGATCTCTCTATGATGGTAAAGGTCATAAAACTCGTAAAAAGGTTTTAGTTATACATAAAAAAGATCGTAAGCAAATAGAACAATCAAAATCGAAATTGCGGTCTTACACTTTCGCTCGACTGTGATTGGTCGATACATGCTTACGGCCTTACAATCACGACTAACAATAAAACCGTTTTTACGTGTAACACGGCCTCGATGACGTAGATAAAATTAAAGGTGACCCGGGGTTATAAGTAATTCTCGCAGCAAAAACGTGCATTCGCAAAAACGTGTCGAGGCGACAAACAATCGCAACAATTACCCATCGACAATATCTCACGCGCGGTTTTATTTCATTTCACAGCAGGATCTGAGGCGATGGAAAACGGGGAGTTATTGTTTCGCGCGCGCGCGAGATAATTACTTATTTAACGCTTTCGTATTTATATACATGTATATATCCCGCCCTTTTGAATTTTTCATCAATTCAAACGTAATTCCCTCGCCGTTTCCGAATTGAGAGAGCGTGGAATAATATACGAGAGTCGCCGGACCGAGCGATTCGAGGAAATAACAGAGAATATAAGCGACAGGTATATCGACCGTTTATTAACAATTGACTTGGAATGGAGAGAGCGTAATATTCGTCGCTTATTTGTTTTACACTGCTATTAAACATTTCGCGGTGCACGACGAATTGATGACGAAGTGCGGCGCACGCAGTTTTTTTGTGCGTTGGAGTTTACACATTGTTTACATATTGTTTACACGAGATCGCGTTGCATTGTTCTCAGGTGAGCACGATGAAAAGGCACGAGGCGCCCGCCGCGTTATAATATTATCTCTCGAGACGCAATAAGTGTCAGATGAAAACGCCTCTCATTCCGCGTACGCAAGCAGTTAATTAATTTGCGCGTTCAACAATTCGCGTAAACAATATGGGAAAACATTTGCCGTTCGACGAAGTGGATATCTCGTGTTCGAAATATCATCGTTTCTTGTTGTGGCATTTATATACGCGCGATAATTATTCCTTCAATGTTACTCGAACGTATCTCGAGTATCAAACTTCGAAATTTTTCGTCCATTCGCAATGAGATTTGCTCACGATGTTCGAATTAAAAGCGTGGAGTAATAATCGCTAATTGTTCGTGCAGAGAATAATCTTGTTTTCTCCAATTTCGTATCGTCGAATTCAAGCCGAACAGCAGGTACAGTGAGTGTAAAAAGTATTTGTGCAGAGAAAATTTTTATAAAAAGGCCTTATTTGTAGAAAAAAAACATTAATTAGCAATTTATTAACAGTGAATACAATAGATGGTAGGTTTGATAACATTATTATAAACAGAGAACTATAATAATCTAAATATATTGTTCTCGACACCATAATCTCGACTGTACGAATAACTTTTGCGTCGAAATACAATGTTTCATTTATTAAAATAATATATTTTAATTATTTATTGTATCTTTTTAAGCAAAATAATTTCTATTTTAATAATTTATATTTATATTTTGGGAAATGTACAATTTATTTTGTTAATAGATTGCTAATTAATATTTCACTTTCTAAAAATTAAGTTAAAAATTAGGTTTTTGAAAAAGATACCTTTCTCTTATATGAATACTTTTTACACTCACTATATAGCCATGATAGATCCATCGCGTTTATTAACAATACATCTATTTTGCATAATTTATACGTCCGATACGGATTACACGTGCAAAACTGAATTTCGATTATACATTTCCATTGCGTCTTAATTAACCATTAATTCGACTTTATCAATTGCATCCTGCCGTGCGGTATCAGAATGACGTTGCCAATATTTTCGAATTTCGGTCATTAACAAAACATCGCCGGGTAGAGAACGGAGCGGCGAGGCGCGGCGCGCGGTGTCGTGACGCGTTTAATTAGCAAATACTGTCGCAATTAACCGCGCATCTCGTCGGCCATGTAATATGAATTCGGTAAATTATAGCACACAAACGCAATGGCGATTTATTAAAATCTCTCCGTCGTTCGGATCGCGGCTCGTCCGTTTTTTTTGTTAATTTGCGGAAATGCTCGTGACTTTCGTGCGATCGTACTTCTCTCGCGCGTCGTTCTTTCGGCGCGAAGAAGCAAAGTGCGCGTCGCGTGCGATTAACGCCCGGGGCGCCTTGTCGTGCAAAGTGCCGTACGATCGTTTATCGTACTTTGACGATTAGTGCGCGCGCCACGAGGCCAATTAACTGGTTTCAGGAACGAGCGTCGTGTTAGTGCCACGAAGGAACGACGTCGAAGAAACGAGAGAGAAGGAGAATGAAGGAGGCTTTAGAAGACCGAGTGCCGTCGGAACAACCTCGGGTTAATAACTTGCTATTTACTATATTAAATACATGAAATTTCGAACAGTATCTGTTTAATTTTATTCTTATTATTGCGCACTAATTACCGCGCTTGATTCGTATACGCCGCTATACTATTTTTATTTTTGCTCTATTTACTATTTTATTTGCCGAATTTATCATTTGCAATTATTTTACGCGCGCAGCACTTATATTTTAAAATATCAAATTATATATCCCTATTATATCTCGGGCGATGCTACAATTTTGAATACGTTTCATATATCTAATTGTTTTTACGTTTAACGGGATGTGTGTCATAATTCCGCTGCTGCGCATTGTATCGTGTTGATGAGTGACAATTAATTAAATTTTATTTTAATTCAAGGAAACGCAGTATATTCGTAAAAATTCACAAATTATGTATACATATCTATGCACATTTTTGCAGATGGTTGTAATTGAAAATTTCAACAGTGTCCAGAATTGCAATGAATCTATTTACTTATAATATTTTATAGCTTTTAATTTTGGCACATATCGCGGCATTGCTGCAATAGTGTCATATCTCGAAAAATGACAAATTTGAGTTATTCATTGGAAAAGATGGATTTTGGCGTGTACTTTTATCTGATGACAAATAACTCAAAATTGTCAATTTTCGAGATATGACGCTATTGTAGCGATGTCGCGATATGTATATACATATATATGCATGCATCAAAATTATAAGAGCTAGAAAATATTATAAATGAATAAAACACACACAGGCACACATCTCACGTATACATTTTTAAATGTCAAAACTTTGAGAGCGTGCAGGGGATCGATAAACTAAGAAAAATAGTTCTTATAAAATATGCTCGGTTTTGCTTCATTTTGAAGAAAATCGCAAAAAAAGACAAAACGTAGTTTTTATTTTTATATTTATTTATTACTTATTCATTCGCACTTATTTATTCACATTGTCACTTGCTTAATGTAGATATTGTTCAAAATGTTGGCTTCTTGGAACAATTAATGCAAGCATTGTATCTAGCATGCGGACAGCTCGTGCTGCAGCTAAATACTGATCTAGTGATATTTGGTGCACTGCAGCCACAATTCGGTCTCTCAATTACTCTCTTGAGTTAGCTGGCAACGAATAAACTTTCTGCTTCAGGGCTCTTTCCCCACACACAAAGAAGTCCAGTAGTGTCAGATCAGATGATCGGGATGACCAAGATACTACTGCTCCACATCCACTCCATTGTCGTGGATAATTTCTGTCTATTTCTGTCTATTTGACATTTAAATTCGAGACATCCTGTATACGTATGTATGTATGTACCAAAATTAAGAGCCAGAAAATATTGTAAATAAATAGATTCATTGCGATTCCGACACATTAGAATTAGAATTTTCAATTCTATCTGGAAAATATATCATTAAAGCGTTGTACATTGCGCGCTGATTCGTGATATATTGCGGGACATCCTGCGGACAAATGCGGCATTGTAGAAATAAATGCATATAATCGCGAAAAAGGCGCTATTAATCTAGTCACGTTTAACGGTACGGAGAAGGCGCATTCTATGCACCGACGTGTTCTCGCTTGGGGAAGGCTTTAAATGGCTTTTCCCCGCTCCGCTGCCCTCGGAGAATTTGCATCGGGGCAAACCGAGGCGCTGCGTCAGTACATTTACGTACGGTTGCGTTATCTACGATCGCCCTATATCAGCGTTCCGTGCTAAATGCCACCATCAATGATAGATACTCCTCAGTTTCTTGAGCGTCTCCTAATCGCATAGCGAACTTCCATTTTTGCGCGTCCCCGCCGCGCGAATTATCCGATTTGGGATAATTGACTTCTTTCTGAGGGAGGGGAAGAAAGGGAAAATATCGGACGATTATCCGATCGGAGGGAGGGGGGAGGAGGGGAAAGCCGCCTTTCTGACAAAAGAAAAAAAATTTACCTTCGGTCGATACCAATCGGCTGCGAACGAGGTCGATCTTGTTCCCCACGAGGATCACCGCCCTCGCGGATACATGGTCGCTCCGCCACAAGGATTGGAGAACCTCCTCAGCGACGCGTACCGACGCTCGATCGGTCGTGGAGTAGACGACGCAGTACGCGTGCGGCTCGTACGTCGAGATGCAATTTTCCGGCTGCAAGCATTAATCGTGACGGAGACAGATTAACACTAATGACTACGATCGCTTATCTGTCTCTATTTCCAATTTATGGAGTATATTAGGTTGGCCGACAGACGTATATGAAGCAGCCGTTCCGCATCGACGTCTTCGGACATTTTCCAGACAAATTAATTACACGCGCAATTAAAATCACATTTTAATTGCATCATACTCTCCGACGGAGATTTAATACTCCAAGTATCAAATAATTACTTATTTTCAGTGCTAAAAGCGCCGTTTGTTAGGGCTTTTAATACTGAAAATAAGTAATTATTTACTTACACTTCCAGTATTAAATTTCTCAAAGGGTTCTCGTAGCAAAACGTCAATTTAACGATTCTGGTTTTATAGAAGGAGATTCTTTTGTTGCGCATTAATCTTAAAATATATAAGAGTAACGTGTACGTCGCAGATATCACGTAGAACAATCCATATTTTTCAAAACTTTCAAACACGCGATGCAATTTTCCGGATGTAGATATTAATCGGGACGGATATTAACATTAATAGTTATAATGGAGCCTGGCAGGCTCTATTTCCAATTTATGATACCTATGCATGAAACAGTTTCATATTAACAAAGTTTCCCGTAATTTCCAGAGAAGAGTTAATTAATATAATTATTATCTCTCCCATAGTTATATTAATTTTAATATTACATACAAAAAGTCTACTTCTTCTGCATTTCGAACACATCCTATCAGTCCAATTCATCTAATGAAACCAATGAATAAAAGCTGCATCTGTCGTATTTCACATTAATTTCCACATCTTTCCGCTTTGCAAATAGCAAAATAAATAAATAAATATTTTTTATTTTCTTTCAACGGGGCTAGGATTTTCCTTCGGTTAGATGTATTATAAAGAAGCGCGCCTTTTGTATGGATATTATAAAAGAAAACTTCTGTAGAACAAGGCATTATGAAAGCAAGCTTGAGAAGTTTGCTATTACGCTTTAGACATAAGTTATGTATAAAAGGAATATATCTATAGGTTCCTTCTAGCGTGTAATCATGGTGTGACGGCATAAAATAAAATCAGATAGAGGAGTTGAAATAAAACGTACTTCGCAGTAGAAAATTATAATTAATGATTTTCGAACATTTTTTTGAAGTCTCCCGTTGCTCTTATTCGTTAAATGCCGATCGGGTCGAGAGAGAAAAATGTTTCAGTGTCGTAACGGATGACATAAATTCGTGAGAGTAATAATGTATGATGTTTCCAAATTGAAATCGGTGGACCGAAAAGAGCTAACGGGAAAGGGATAGAAAAGGGAATGACGTTATTCATTATGTCGGTATTTGACACCCTGAAGCTTAGCATGTTGGATTTTCGCAATCAATGCGCAAATGATGTTAATATTACGGTCTTTACATCCTCTCTCTCTCTCTCTCTCTCTCTCTCTCTCTCTCTCTCTCTCTCTCTCTCTCTCTCTAGAAATATTATTTCTCATACTTGTTAATTTTTGCTCAACAGAAAGTCAACATAGTTAATTTAATTTTTAATTATCAGGGAAAATATTGAAAAATAAAGATAATTCCGCGTTACACTCAATAAAACAATAAACTTTAACAAGTACGTAGCTTTTACTTGATTCGTACACTATGAATACATTTCAATTAAACTCTAGATTGTTAATACTATTACAGTGTTGTTTGCTGCAAGTAAAATAAAAAAAATTTTTAAATCGATTTATTGATTTCTTTTTTATTTTTTTTTTACTTAAAAAGGTCTATCTTTCGGTTTACAAAGCGCAATCAGATTTCGCTGGTCGTTATTGTCTATTCGTGTGACGCGGAAGTTCCTGGAAAACGTATAATTGCAATCGCAGCGTTATTGCGACATCCGCTCGCGGAAGGCCAGGCAATAAATAGTAAATCTCCGGGCGATCTTTTTCACCATATTCCGTAATTGGTGCCCGTAAACGAAGCTCCGCGGTGGAAAGGAAATCCCTAGTTTAGGGGAAAAAACGGAAGGGAGATCAGCTTAAAGTCACTGTAAAGGCCTAAATTATATTTGGAGCTTTGGAAAAGGCAAAATATAATAATATTCAGACTAAGTTGGAGCGATAATCCCGGCTGTACCTAAATCTGGCTTAGCGATTCGCCCGTAATCTTTCTGACCCAAATGTCCGTTTAATATAAACGGAGACACACAAAACTGATTTATTCATACCTCCTTTCGTAAAGGCACGCGCCTATGTATTCGTTGGGACAATATTATTTAAAACTTTTTTTGAGTATCTTCAAATGACTTACAACGCACATAAAATACACGCAGAAAGAGATATTAAAATATTTCAGACTCGCTAAACGTAAATAATACACGCAGGAAGGGATATTAAAATATTTCAGATTCGCTAAATGTAAATAAATAAATCCAATTATTGTCTTTTTTATTGACAAAAATAAAAGTCCAGTTTGTCCGGCTAAATAAGAAGACGTGGGGAGGGGGGAGGGGGGAGGAGGGAAGCGGGAGTTCAATCACGTTAGCGCAGCCGGTCGTTAAAGGTTAAGATCGCAACGAGAACGGGTTTTGTGATTTTGCGAACGATTATACGAAAGAATTACCTTGAACCGTATCAAAGGCGCGCGCTCCGCCTCGTGATATCGAATATATCTAGGGATCGACCGCTTAACGGTCGAACGCGCGGCATGGCTCGATGCTCGTCAATGACTCGCGGCACGCCTGGGTGAAGCGACGAGAGGCAGGGCAGGACGAAGAACGCTTCGTTACTCCCTCAGGTCCATTTTCTTATACCCCTCTAAAGCTCACGGGTTAGCCTCGTCACGCGGTAATTCTTACTCGATCGGTTACGCAAAAAAAGGAGGAAAAAAAAAACACAGAAAAACCGCAAATCGGACTACTGTCGCGGTCGCATTTGGATGCCAGAGACCGGGGCAACCCAGGCCGCAGGCCTCTGGGATAACGGTTGGCTCTAAATGCGAATTTTCTCCGCTCTAAATGGGAATTCTTTCAGCAGCGGCGCTCTCACCCGCTTTTCGCTAATGCGAAAAGTAATGCCGCGGTAATTGTGAGGCCAGTTTGAAAAGGATATTTCACACGGTTAACTCTTAATCGAATTTTCACGTGTGTGCACAGACATTTCAGTATCTTAATGTTCTTACGTATTTTATGATTATTTTACAATCATTTTACGATTATAAAAATAATACGTCTAAAGATACGATTATTGGAGGATTATTAGGACTTCTAATTTTCCTCTCAGGGAACACGCGATTTGCTATTAAAAGTACCGGCCAGGATTTATTTTAATCTTGTCTCATAAATGCTTCTTTCTCAAAGTACACAAAACGATTTAATCAACTAGTTTTCTTAAATGTAATGCTACAAAAGAAGTGAACTGTATTAATAGCGCACGGAAAATCAATAATTTGCGTGCTCGTCTCACGTACCTTTCGCAAGCTCCCCTACGCATGCGATGAGAAGTACAATTACACAATGATTTGAGAAATTTCGTCTTTCGCAAGCTTCCCTACGCATGCGATAAGAAGTACAATTGCACAATGATGTGAGAAATTTGATTTCTGAGGAAATAATTACACGCGAAAGGCAATACCGCGCTCTCTCGCATTGCGAGTATTATATATATATAAATTCACGTATTTATATTGATTAAATAAAACATGTGGAAACATTTGACTCTAAACCACAACGTAGGGTCAAGCATTGCCCCATTTGCGCTTTAACTTTGTTGGTAAACTTTGTTAATGAATTCGCGTAAATGCAAAATAAATACGAGACTGCTCTCTAAACTTCCTGCTCCCGCCCTCTCTCTCTCTCTCTCTCTCTCTCTCTCTCTCTGCCTATCTATCTTGCTTTTTTTAAATTTATAGAGGATGTTTCCTTAACTAAAATTTGATTTCGCCCAGAGATCATCTCGTAACTTTTTAAATTCCTTTCTCACCTCTCAATTTGAAGCATTAAGCACCGGGTGAGTGCGCTGCGAAGATGAAAAATGAGTTGTATCTTTAAATCGTATTTATGTAAGACACCTACGAATTATTACCGTTCGTTTACGCATTATTCAATCAATCTTCTTTAATGAGAATTTTATTGGACGCTATCATTCCTGCACGATCCCATTTTCAACATTAATCACTTCGGTAACTAAATTGCGAGTTGAAACGCCGTTAAGATAAAATCCACTTAAAATTAAGTCGGGCAACTCAATTTAAAAAATTTTCAACTAGCTCCGCAGCGACTGTGACGTATTGCACACAATGTAACATTATTTCGAGGACTTAACGAACTAGCCGTATGCATTTAACTGCACGGCTGTATGTACATGCGTAGTTAATAGTTAATGTATATTTAACCGTTATGAATAATGGATTGTACATCATAACCGCAAACCGCTGATAAATTACAGTGTTTACACACAACGTTATTTCATCAATATATCTATTTTTCGATATAATCTATCTTCATAAATATATTAGGGCAATTTTATTTACGTGACACATCTAATAAAGCGACAGCGGAAGCAATTTATAATTGAGTTTTTAATAAAAGTGACATTGCTGCGTTTTAAAACTCGTTACTCCGTTCTCTCACTTCGCAAGTTCTTTGATCAGCACAAAGTTAAATTTTTCGTAACAAAAATGTTTAAGACGTCGTTTCTTTCCGTAATTTTGTAATTACCTCAAGTAATTATGTTTCATAAGTTAAGATTTTATTAAAATTCACTTGAAATTGAAACGTAAAAAGCTTGCTTTGCGGTTGTTTATTTCGTGGCTCGAACACTGAAAATCGCTCCATTTCTAATTGCCTATCTCACAAGGACTATCGATTTCTCGACATTCTTGTCAAGGTAAAAGTTATCTCGAATTGATTGAAGGATACATTGATGAAAATTGACTCGCTAGATCTAGGACACGTCACATGCACGCCGTAGCGACCTGAGCTCGAAATTGTATCGGTTTCTTTTGTGTAAAAATCACTTCGCTCCAGAAAGTTAGACGTATTTTTATGAAATCATAAAAAAAAACAAGTTAAATAGAATTCCAATTCGTTTTCCAATCAAGGAAAAATTTTCTTCCATTATCGATAATTTCAGCGAGAGATGCCGTCTTACTACAAGTATAATTCTTTTTATTCTGCCTCGCGCTAGAGATTGCTATCGCAACGAGTTTATCTGCGTAATAAATAAACACATTAACTTAATAGAGCTCCGGTCTAATATAATTCCGAGACTATCAACGGAAATCAGGATTTTGCGGTCTCGCGGCCTAACGTGATTAGAGGTCAGCCTTGACTTTCGGGCACCAGGAATAACGGCGCGCGAACCCGTCCCCGGGGGGGGGAGGGGAAGGGGGAGAGTGACGGACGGAGAGGACGGGGGAGAGTTCGGCCTTCGGTCGCCGGAATTCCGCGGAATTCAGAAAGTTCGGAAATTCTCGATGAGAGTTTTCGAGCACCGCCATTAGCGGCGCGGCACAATGTTCGTTCCACCACCGTCACCACCGGCCACCGCCGCCGCTACCCCGTGTTTCGTCGGGCACACGCGAAGATCGGCCGCGCGCGCACGGCGCGCGGCGTAGCTCGGCTCGCCGCCGCGCGCCGGAGCGGTCGACCGCGCGATATACAGTGCGTTGTACGCGAACGGCTGCGAACGTACGTTTTAATTAAAGGGCAAATTCGATTGAAATTGTCTGGCGAAGCGTGGCAGCGACTCTAACCTCCTCCTCCTCCTCCCCCCCTTCCCCTCTCCCACCCCTCCGCCCCACCGGTAGCCCCGCAGTCAACCGACCCCCGCTGCCCCCTCCTCTCCCCAACTCACGACGTAGGCCGCTACTGTGTGTACGTATATCACGGCGCGGTCCTCCACATTTGCAGAGCGTGTACGCGAGTATCGTCGCGCCAGCGCGTCAGCTCGCCCACCGTGGAAAATGGATTTTAATTTAATTCCCGCGGTACAAAAGCACACACCGCGTGCCCCTCCCGCGACCATCCTTTCAACCTGCCCGCGCCCGCTCCTCCCCCCTTCACCCCCGCTCTCCCCCTTATCCCTCTCTTCCCCCTCCCCGTGTTAACACTGTTAACTCGATTACGTCGTCCCCGTCGTCGTGAGAGCACTTCGCCGCCGGAGGCTCAAGGCGCGGCGATACCCGCGTCCGTTTGTTCGACGAAAACGAGAGGAGAGAGACTCCTCTGGCTGGACTCGGTGGAGATCGAGCTTGCGGCAAAAATGATTAGTTCAGGGGCACGGAAAATTAGCGACATTATCATGCGCATCGGCACGATCAATTGACTGTGAAAATTCTCCGAGAGAGAGAGAGAGAGAGAGAGAGAGAGAGAGAGAGAGAGAGAGAGAGAGAGAGAGAGAGTTGTGAAACAACCTTGTTGTCAATCATAACCGACTTTCGTCATTTCACCTTTCGCAACTCTGCTCCTCGATCCTCTCGACGAAAATACGTATACGATATGTATTTCCCTTATATGTCAAGTAAAGTAAAAAATTTTTGGAAATTTTTCCCCGAGCACACACAGAAATTCACATTTCAGACATTTTATTCTCTAATAATTTCATTGAAATAAAACACCTGAAATGAATTTCTGCTCGGTATACATTTCAATAAAATTTATTACCCGGCACTAATACTGATATAGCATTTTTTTTTATTCTTCTGCTTTACAAATGTCTGCAGCATTAGGAAAATTCGCGGTCCGATGGTATACTCGTATATACAGACGGACTGTACATGGATAGCATCTACTTCGTATGAGCCGCTACTAGACTTACCGTCATTTCGGCACAAGAGTGATCGATGAAAGTCAATTCCGACTCCTCGCCGGCCAGGAGCACGCTGACGGTTTTTTCGCCGGACTCGTCGTCTGCAATGCGAAGAAATAGGCCTTTAGGTACTTAATCCTTACAGAAATTTAATATTTGGGAGATAATGATTGATTACTTATTTTGAGTATTAAGAGCATTGCTGTTAAGCCTTTGATATTCAGAATAAGTGAAATTTCCAGTATTAAATTGGCTGCTATTAAATTGAATTTTTGTAAGGGAGAGAATCCGGGATGGTATATAATATCAGGAACGAGTAAAACGTGTATTAAATAAATGATTAATTAATTAACAATGGAAATTAAAAACAAATAAACACCGGAACGGTCGAACTTTATGGAGAAACAAACCGAGACGAAATGTAGTGTCTCACACACACACACACACGCACATGACACGCACGCACACGCGCGCGCGCGCGCACGCACACACACACACACACACTCCAGAAATGTTCTTCATCTTAAATTCAATTCGAGCTAGGAATATGCGGGTACTTGTAAAGTGCAAATCAGGTCGAATTCAAATTTCCGCATCGGTTTCTGAACGGGACGGGAGTTTGATAATTCGGCGAGACCCGCGATGCGGGACATTACTCGCGACAAGCTTTGCTCTAATTGTATAAATAGAGATTTATTTCCAGGAAAATATGGGAGGGAGGAGAAGGGGGAGAATTTATATTCAGTGCGCCGAAGTCTTTGGCACGAAACCTCGAATAACGCGAAATAATAGAGTGTCAGCATTTAAATCGAATTTGTTTCGGTTCCGTGCGCACAATGCAGCGGCGGCGGGATCGAACGCAGCGGGTGCCCGAAAAACATCGGCGCTATACCCCCCTATTTCCGGGCCATTCCACGCCACTTCGAATCGCCATGTGCACGCGGATTTTCCCGTGACCGGTCGGACAAAACAATTACATCACACCCCCGAACTCGAATGGAAAGGACCCTTATGCTTGTTTTCGTTCCGGTTCGTTCCCGCTCTCTTTCTGTCCGGTTGGCTTTCGGGATCTTACGGAGAGGAAGGGGACAAGGAGGGAAGAGGGTCGCGTGCCGAGCGTTCGATCGATCGGTGACGTATCGCGGCTCGCGGCGCATGGGGAGCAGAAGGGGGTGAGGGAAAGGGGGCAAGAGGAGGGGGGGACAGGGGGCCGCGGATTTTGCGGTCGCGATGGCCGTATAAAACTTGGTCGACTCACCGATCGAAGTGTCGTAGGCGTGCAGGTACTCGGAAGTCATAAATTGCGACACCAACGAGCTCTTGCCGACGGCCGGGGCGCCCAGCATGAGGACGCGATACGGCGCCGGGCCCTGAGACGCGCTGCTCTCCCTCGAACTCGCCAACGAGCCCGCCGCCGAGTTCCGCGCCGAACCAGGGTACGAGGCGGTCAGGTGTTCCGTGCTGCGTCGAATAGAAGAAAGGCTAGGCGCGTATTGAGATTAGCAACAGGATAAAGCTACATCGTCGATTTATATCGGAGAATCAAGATCGTTATCTCGTAATGGGGGTGTACAATTTCGAGAAAAATAAGGGAAGAAGTTACGCCGCCATTTGGATTTTCTAGATCTTGAATTTTCGACGATTTTCGGGGGAGATTGCATGGATTACTTGGACACAAATATGTATATGGACGAATCCCTGACATTCAGTCTCCTGGTAAATTATAATTTTTTAGACTTGTAATAACAATACTACAGCCGGATGAAAAAAATATGATGTTTTACTAGAAAATTAAAAATGTACTTTTATTTTTTCTATCATTGTATATAAATATATTCATTTATTTTACATATTTTTAATTGTTCAAATTTACAATAAAAATATAAACCGTAATTTTCAATCAAGTTTTTCATTTGCTGTAGTATTTCAGGAATAGAGAAAACGATTGACATTATCATTCTCAAACAGATTTGGAGACTTCGCGGCAGCAAATTGTTTCACTTATAATTAGTCGCGTTCTAAGAAGAAATTACGAAATAATTAATATGTATTATCTCTTAAAAAGAAACTTTTAGACATAATGAGAAATCATAAATTGTTGCGGAAGCAATTTAGTTTATACGACATAAGTATGTAATCCGGATCAGATAAAAATATAAATTGCTTTCTTAAAGCCAATATAATATAATACATAAAAAATTCTGATATGTATTGCGTGCATTTGTTCCATAAAAATATATTTTTTTAAAGTAACATTTTAAATCAAAAAGATATTCAAATAAGAATTATAACAATTTTTTGCTTTAAAAAATGTAACATCTGTCTCAGATTCTAAACTTATTTGTTGTCTATTTCCATTAATGTAGTTTAATTTTAATCTCGGTTTAATTTACTTTTAATCTTTTCCTAATTATTAAAACTAGAAAAAAATAAAGAACAAATTGAACCGAAATTAAAGTTACTTTATGTATATTGGTGAAAACGGAGTAAAAAATTAATATTATTCGCGTTATAACCGTAAATAATAAAGTACAATCATGTCTCATATATGTATGTACGTTGCATTACATAATACAGTATAATAGTTTTTTTTCGTGGTATCTTAAATAAGTAATAAATCTATATGTCGCTTATACCGGCTATAGAAAGCGTCCCGTGAGACGCTCGTGATTCTCGTGTCAAATTCTGAAAACATGTTTTACGAGGAGATATAAACCGCGCGCGCGATTTTATCTTAGCGAAAATTTTATTGGCGTCGTGCGCCTCTTCGTATCGGCAACTTTCGTATTTTCTCGACGTCAAATATTTTCAGCAGGTAAAGCTTGAAATTAAAATCTCGTTAAATTCTTACCTGAAAGCAATTAACAACTAACAAGAAGAAATAGAAACTTTGTAGGTCAAGCCCCTCAAGGCGTTATTTTCTAAAGTCTTTTCGTCTCTAAGCACATTCGAATCTACCGTCTCTCTCTCTCTCGCTTTAAATTTTCACAGAGGAAAGGTCAACTCCGATTTTGTCACGAAGCACGCTTCTGCAATTCGATATAAACTTTAGAAAATATTCTGCATATTGTACATTGGAAATGTGTTTCGCGCGATATTCACCCCCTCGTTTTATATATATATCGATACCAAACTCGGCAGCCGCGTCTAGAAAGGGAAAAAGTATCGTAACAGGTTTATTCAATCGCGCGTGAATATTCAACGTTTCACACTTCGGTCGGCAGAATCTGAGTAATAAGATTAGCGCTTACAATGACACGACTAGTTACCTGAGTCATTGATGCCCTGCGCTTCGTTAATTCGCGCTCAGTTCGATATTAAACGCTGTTACATATATAAATATTTTACACAATATTGCTATTACATTATATGCAAACATACTGCTTTAAGAGAAATCCAGAACACTCTTGTATAATTCATGCATGTGTCAATAATTTACATATCGGTTTATACATAGTATATAATTACAATTATGGCTGGACAATAAAATCATTTAAATTTTTCGTCAGTTTAGATGAAGGTATCAGTATCTTTTTCTGTTGTGCATGAATTCAAGATATTTTTTCGTCTTTTCTGCTTAAACGTAGATTTCTTGAGTGACATTTGGATTCCACTACTTGTCCTACTTTTTCGCAAAAGGTGTTTTTAATTTTCTCAAAAGTACAGATACACGACATTCTTTCTTGCAAATAATCCTATCATAAATAAATTTAAATATATAAAAACAAAGTATAAATTTTACAGAAAATATTACTTCTGTTATTTATATTGTTCATATCATATTATGCAGTAACGTCTCGTGCCAAGTATATACATGTAGAAGCACATCTCCGTAAAAGAGATGTTATAGCGTCTCTCTTTATATTCTTTATTAAATATGCGCTGTTACATATTCTGAAATACTATAGCGTTATGCACAGAAATTAAATATGATATCAGATAACATTTCTTTATTCTAGCAAAAGAGTGCGTAGAAAAAACGTACCTTAATTTATAAGTTGAGTAAAAGTTGAATTTATTAATTTCTAGTTAATTATATTTTTTAATTCGTTCACGAAAAATTAAACAATTTGTTTCTCGACTTGTGCAACAAACACAACAGATTTCTGAAAGTGTAGTCTCATGTGAAATTAAATAAGAATTGTTTCAATGGAACTCTCGACTTCATCAAATACCAGCGTATTACACGAGATTACGTATAAAGACGCTATAAAAAAAGTATTTTAAGTTTAAAATTGGAGTATACTTTGCGGAGTATATTTTACGGGAAATGCAATAAATTATTTCAAAATGCAAATAAAACGTTTTTTCCGAATAATAAGTGCGAAAGATAACGTTTTGTTATCGCTAGATGTTTGTGCCTTTATGCCAACTGCGCTTGAAATATTATATTTGCCATCCAGCCTTGATATATTATATTTGCATGATGTCTGAAGACCACGCTCTAAGGTCCAACGCGCGTGTCTACGTAACTTCAACGCCACACGTAAACTCACGCGTTCGATCTAGAGCAACAGTCCAACTCGCTTCGCGACGACGAGAAGGCGAACCGGAGATAGAGGTCGGAAATATTCTACGGCACGCTCCTTCCCAGAGAGAGAGATAGCGGAGATAGCAGAGACGAGGTGGCACAATCGCAAATATCACCGCTCGACCGTAGAGTAATAAGCGCGACTGTCGATCGTGTCGATATCGCTATTGCTATCGACACCGCGTTGGAAAAATATTTATTGCAAAATTGACAAGAAAAATACATTGTCAATTCTGTAATAAAATTCCTGTGCGAGAGAATATATTGCAAAAATATTCAATAGCGCGATCCACTTTTTTTCCTGGTAACATTTATAATAAAAGATTCAGAAATGTAAACTTAGTGAATCTTTAATATTAGTGATGAATATAAATCTCTCGAATAACGCGACTAATTAGAAGCTTAAAAGTATCGCGATATATAATTTATTTTAAATCGGAAAGTTATGAGACTTGGCGAATATATATATATAACTCTCTGCGTCATTCGAATGTTGGAAGTTTCTAACATTCAAACGTCTTAGAATTGGCACACATAGTACTTACCAGCACATATCACAGGAATGTTCGTCAAATTATAACACTTGGCCCCGTTAACTATGCTTGAACTTACCTAGAGTTGCTGGACGCCACGCTATTGTTGGAGCGCGATCTACGGCTCTTTAGAGAGTCGCCCCGATTCACCACTCCCTTGCCCGTAATGCTGAAATGCCGTAGTCTGTAGTACTCCTCCTCCACGCCGGTATTAGGCATACTCGCCACTCGCGATCTCTGTTGCGGAAGACACAGGTAATTCGGTCGACCGGAGGATCGACTCCCGGGAGCCTTCACCGACTGTGATCGACTATGATGCGGGCTTCCGTATCTGCGGGTTATTCGATTGTCACTATATTTGACTATACAGGATGATTTCAGAAGGAAAACTTCATACTTTGGATAATCGCTGAAATTCGTTAAGATTCAAAAGAAGTTTCATAAAATTTAATATATAATGTAATTGTCCTTGCATATTATTAGAGAGATATACAAATAATATTTTTCTTAAGTATAATATATTTCTAATTTTTGGAAACTTTCAGAACACGACTTTCAATTAATTTCGCGAATCGCTATAATAATTGATAATTACAACAATGTTAAATCTGTGGTGTCAAATTTAATTTTATTTGAGTCGCCACTGCTCCTACTTAATATATGTATATTTTTAACTAAAACAATGGAATTTAATCCAAATTTAGGCTAAATTTGAACTGTTTTAAAATATTTAACTCCATTGTTTTAGTTAAAAATAACTAGGTGGAGGTAGAGTATTAAGTCGTAGGAGCAGTAGCGACTCAAATAGGGTTACATTTACAACACTACAAATTTAACAGTGAAGTACAAAGCTGAATATAAGTATTGTATGTTGTATGACGAAAGTATATGTATAATATATTTATATTAAAGATAGATCGTAAGAATTTTTGCAACGTTTAAGAAATATGTTATATTATTATTAAACATGTTAAAATCTTAAAAACAATAAAGATAATAATTCTTTTAACATTAATAAAACATATGTTCTTCTTTATATCTTTTTTAAAATTAAAATCCCGACATAGCTCTGGAACGTATTTAGAACTGGACACGTGTCTATAAATCTTTCCATCTGCAGTGCTTTATTCTCTTTCGAAGTATGGATTTTTCTTTCTGTGAGATACTCTCTATATAAATTCATAAATATTGAATAGCTCTGGCCAAAACTCTTTCGACAAAAAATTTCCTGGTAAACTTCCTTTTATCGCGACCGAGAGCACACTAAATTACTTAAAAACACATGAGGGAAAAATGTTTATTGAGCTCAATGCATTACGCGCGCAAAGCGGTTTAATATTTTTTAAATATTCCTTAATATCTTGTTGAGCACGTTATCATGCAAATGTTTCATTAAAAACACTGTTAGATTGTGAAATGCGTTATAATTTAAAAAATGAATAAGATAGTGTGGTGTCGTATTGCTAAAAATCGACAATGACGTTGGTCAAGTTCCGGTCAGAAAACCATTTATCTTTAAAAAAAAATCAAATATATTTTGAATATTATATTACTATATTGAAAATGTAATATTTTAGGGAGAAAAGAGAGAGAAGGTGAAAAAACGTTTTAAAATAAAGCAAATATTATATGATGATATAATATCATATTTACCAAATATGACATTATATCCACCATTATTCCTAAATCTTTATGAGGCCTACATCAGGCCGATATCGATCGTATCGTTTCCTATGTCGTGCAACCGCAAGTGCCGCAACAGCGGTCGATATCTGCTTACCTCATCTCGAAGTCGTGTATCTCCTGCAGGGTGAGGGTGTTGGCAACGTCTAACAGCTGCCGCATGTTCTCCTCGCGTCTCCTGGCGTCGGTGTCCGGATGCAGCAGAATCGTCGCCGCGGGCGCATCCAGCGACAAGGACGGCTGTTGCACCACGATCGTCGCCTGGGTCGATCGCTTGCTGCCGCCACCGGCACTTCCGCCTTTCCGGATATGAAAAATTTATTGTGTCCGTTATCCCGTCCTCGGGCTCGTCGATCTTACGGGGTCACGAATCGGCGGGGGCGCGAGAGAGAAAGAGAGCGACAGAGAGAGACAGAAGCGTCTCTCGTCGCCCCGCATCCTCGTTCCCGCGTCACCTCTCATTCTGAACGCGCGGAATGCGTTTTCCGGGGTCTTTCGGCCACCCTTCTTCCGTTTCCCCACCTCGGCGAGATCGCCGAGGGGGATACGTTTACGCGAGATGCGTGTCCGACAACACACATTCGCGGTTAGGTATTCCTCCCCCGAACGGAATCGCCGTCACCCGTAAATCATCTTGACGATGATACTTCGCGGCAAAGCTTTCGATACGAGGATAGAATCTCGATAATGCTGACATCGATTATGGAAAAGGTTCGAGTGTATTTACCCGTCGAGAGTGTATAGGCTGGGTTAAGGGTCTCCACCTCGAAAAAATTTTCCGCGGTTTTTAAGCTTAGTCGAAGAGGAAAGAGGGATAATGTAACCTTGAATAAAAATAAAGGAATTGTGTACACGCCTCTCTGTTTGCTAATTATATTTTCTTATCTTTATCTTATTCACATATAGCTGGTGTAGAGAGTACGTCGAATCGATGGTTAGCTTCCACTTATAGAGTCTCTTTGGAATATTTAGGGCCAATATCATCTCAAAAGAGGCACACCAAGAATAGTTTCTCTGTTAACCGACTGAAAATGGAGGGACTGTATTGAAAGCGAAGCTTATCATTCTTTAATTAATTTTGATTTTTACCTCAGCGAGAAACATTAATCCCGCTCGACAAGATAATTTGATAGCAAAACTTGATAATGTGGAAATGTGGAAGTATTAAATATATTATATTTCCGCAATGTATATAAATCTCGTCGTAACACGTGAAACTTGTTTGAATTTGGAGTTAAAGTTCAAAGTTGATCGTTGTGCTTCATGGTTCAAACATAATGGTATCCAATTTTTGTTAGGAAACCTTGTGAACCTTTAGAATCGATCACGAAACTCTCCCCTGACGGTGCAAAGGTAAAAAGCGTGAAAACGCGTGGAAGATGAAAAATTTCCATGCGTAATAGAGCGATCGTTTTTTTTTCGAATCTAAAACGCATTGTTAACATTTCGATCAAATAAAATTCATCATGTGACCTTTGAAACGGTGGAAAAAAAAATGTAACACGAAGAAATTTATTGGTCGATCAGCCCGCATGAATCGGTCTGTATTCAATAAATATTCGTTAGTTTACACTTGAAAGGAATTTTGTAACTCCCCTTCGAAGCAAATAGGATCTAAAATCAATGCTAATAATGATCATCTTAGCGATTCTTTTACGTGGACAATAGTTGATGGTTCTCTCGTAAAACTTTTCTCATCCCGAGCCCGCGGTAATTTCTAGCCCAGCCTGTGCACAGAGGTCGACGAGGATATCTTTAAGACGCGGAAACCTCTCGTTTAAACAAAAGTTCCGCAATCTGCGAGCTCTCGAGAGTCTTGCGCAATTGCAATTACCGAGATTCCATCCGACAGTGTCGACGTGACGGACGGAATAATAACGGGGGGAGAGAGAGAGAGAGAGAGAAAGAGAGAGATTGCGGATAGCACGGAGGAGACGGCGATCCCGCAGACGTCCCGCGGTGGGTACTAGTGAATAGAAACAAACAGGTAAACGACAAAGGCGTGATTTCGATAGCAGGACTCGCGCAAAGCGGCATTCCCAAGTCTTCTCCCTCGCGCTGCTAAACGGCGCGGCGTAGCCGAAGCGAGCGGGATCGCGCGTTTGCTGAGATCGATGTCGCGCGATGAATTAAAACTACGGCGTAATTTCGACGAGCTTCCCAGATTTCGGCGTGCTGCAAATATACGCGAAAATGAGATTTACGCGGTCTTGCGTGATCCCGCGTGATTTCGCGTGCTTGCAACGCAGCCCCTTCGCTTGAGAGATAAAATTAGATTTAATTTTCTTGAGCTTTTATTCCCTACGAAACGCGTGCTTGCACCCGAGTAAATATTTTTTTAAAGAATAATACTAATTAAGTCGTGTAAAGAGAGAAAAAAAGAAATTGTAATTAAATGCACAAAGTACTTTCATCAGAGAAAAATGACTTAAATATAAACTGCACTCTGTTTACTTTTTAATACGGCTATGCATAAAATGCTTAACGATAACCTTTTCGCAGACGAAATACATTTTTAATTGAACTCAAACTCATAAAAACTGGCCTTAATTATATTTAGTGCGATAAAAATTTTGCGACCCGAAAACGTTCTACGTTTATTATAACAAAATGCAATTTTTCCATATTTGCAGCAAATCGAAATATTGAAGTCGACGAAATTATGTCGATTTTAATTCTCAATATCGTGGTGTCGTCGATAAATCTACATCTATCTATTTATCTATCTATAACGACACAAAGTTCACATTTTGTAATACATACAGTACAAGAGAAAGCAGAAATACGGAAGAGGTAGAAATTTTCGACGACGAGATATGTAATTTCTTTCAGAAAATGTACAATTTCTTTTATTATACGTATATTATATAATATGTATATTATATAATATAAACAATGCAATATAATTTCAATTTATATCTCGATCTGGATGTAAAATTTAAAATATGAAAATAGCAAGCAATTTATAAAATGTTACATGTTTAATTTTACAGATTGATAACATGACGAGTGTATCTGACGTTTCTACCTCTTCCTTCATAAATCGTTCGCATAAGCATCGAATAAAGTTAGCGGAGGTTCAATTGACTCTCTGTCACTTTTGCAGTTCTGCTTTTATAAAAAGGATATCTTTTTTTTTAATTCTCCGTGAAATAACCAGTGAACGTTTATGTGAACGATCTTACGACAGCGACAGAAATCACACTAAGCCGCGATCGGTGTATTTTGCACACGCAACGGATTTTCAATTAACGATCAAAGCATCGGCGACGATATTTCCCTCGACTACGGCACCGATTTTATCATCGCAGACTTCGCGAGACAACGAGCTGCGACATTAAGAACATCGGCATCACGTCTCATAAGGACCATCTTGCGGGAATGACTTTCGTAATATTCATTTTCGCGTGTGCTTTTTTGTTACTCTCTCCCATAGTAGGATCGATAAATGTCGTCGTCGTCGCCGCTCGTTGCCGTTGTCTGAGATTCGCGCGAAAGAGGCGCAAGCAGTTTGATCGACAACGCAAGAAGAGACAAGGACAAAGAGAGACGCAGCGAAAACAAGAGATGGAGAACAAAGGAGAAGAAGCCCAAGCGCATTCGCATAGTCGCATTTGTGTAACCGTATTGTATCCACGTAATACCATTAAAAAGGGCGGCCGCCGATAGGAAGCTTTATCAGATCGTGTCCCACCGCTCTCACTCATTCACACACATTATTGCATCGTCATCTTGTCATCCTTATCTTGCCATCATTATTGTCATCGTTAATATCTTATCATTTTGTTATCGTCATTGTCATCGTCATCTTGACATTGTCGTCATCATCATGACATCGTCATCATGACATCGTCATCATGTCATCGTCATCATGACATCGTCATCATGTCATCGTCATTTTGATATTGTCATTATTATCGTCATTGTCATTGTCATCGTCATCGTTATTTTGTTATCATCATCTTGTCATTTTATCATCGTCATCGTCAATGTCATAGTTATAGTTATAGTTATTATCATTGCATAAGTTTCATGCGCTTTCGACGGTCGCCCCCGTGTGGATACGAGAATGACTATATATCGTCTATTCGCCGGACTATGTAATACCTATTGCGCAAAACGGGAAAAAGAGCCTGACCCATGAATGAATGGCTGAAACGAGTGGATGAGATTCTGAAAGAAAAGAACATCAATTCATTTCCTTAGAGCTACCGTCAATTTTTTCTCGTTTACTCCCGTTTCCTCTACTTCACGCACGCGTTATTGCATATACGCACATATACGTATATGTATCCACAAATGCGCGGGATCGATTTACGCCCGCGCGACGCTGTCAATTAGCGCTAACCCTGATTAGGCATATTTTATCCCCTCCATTCGCGCGAATATTTGTTGAAATTAGTACGCGAAACAAAAGCAAAGTAGTTTACGTTTTTTTTTAAAAAAGAGACAAATATAATTGTTCTAATGATAAGATTAATAGTTATGGCATCTTAATTTTGATAGCTTTTAATTAATTTTAATAAAGTCATTAAAATTCCAATATTTGACCAGACTTCTCTACGGTCTCTCTATATTATAGTCAAGATTGTAAGTATCATAGAGTGTATAGCTACCACGCAATCTAGAGACAGTGAGTCTCGAACTGGAATTACTTAAACAACTCGACTGCGGAATCGGTCGATAGTCTTGGCTAACTGGTTAGAGCGATCGACAGCCCCAGCTAACAATAAGTAACACGCAGTATATAGAGAGTAAAATCGGTGGCTCATACGATCAATGCTTACCGAGGTTGCCGGTTTTCTATCTTTTAATTCGTAATGATAACCGCGAATGAGCGATTGATCACGATTAGTAAGATACAAGCTCATCAAGTAAATTATTGTGAATATGAATTTGACTAGACGAGACCAAAATGAAAGGGAGGGTGGAGGAGAGAGACAGAGAGAAGGGAAAAAATATATTCGCGCCTAGAAATTTGTGAGAAAGTGAGATTCGTGGGGTGAATAGAATGCGAGAGAATTCTCTTTTTTTTCTTTTTATTGCTGACGAAGGTCGCGACGTGGTCCCTGTTGTCACTGTGATTTCAACGAATCTTGACGTCACATTTAAGAAACTACCTAAGAACATGGTGAACTGAGAGAAAGGAGAGGGGAGCTTTTTATTTCGCGCGCAAAAAAAAAAGAACAGAGACTCACCCGCTGATCGTCCTCGCGACTTTGTGCTCGCGTTACTTTGAACGTTGCAGCCCTGAGTATTGCACGGCTGGGTCGCACCTATGAGCGATATATCGAGCGGATTGGTCGTCACATTGATGTTGGGCCTCTTCTGGCTCCGCTTGTGCTCGGTCATGCCCTTCTCCAGCGCATTCGCCTGGCTCGAGTTGGCTTTCCCGCCGGCCGCATAATCGATCTGATATCCCCCCCTGGCGTTCTGCTTATCCTGGGCGGCCACCAGATTTCGAATCGAGGAACGCAAGTCGGTCGCATCGGGCTGGCCCGCGTCCACCGAGCCCCTCACGGGGGTGCTGAATGCAAACGGGATTGTAGGATACGGATCTCGCCGCGATTACGCAAGTCGGCAGCGACTGACAGATTCGCAACCAAACTAAAGAAACCCCCAAACTCTCCTCCCAATTCGGAACAAAATTTAGCCGAGAAAGTCAGTTGGAAAATTTCTCTGTAACTCGTAGCCTAGCCGGAAATTTTGTATCCCAGAGGGGTAAAAGATAGCAGAAGTAAAGGATACGTACGTTAATTCCTTTAAGAAATTTCAATCTTGCCCGAAGCAGAGATGGGGATCTTTAATCTGGAAATTATTGCACGAGATAGCGATTTAAAAGCGAGAAAAGGGAAATGTAACTGACAGACTATACAGCTCTGTAGGCGTATATAGTTTTACAGATAAAGTTCGTTCTTCCCTAAATCCGCCTAAAATATTCTTATCTTCATTTCAAGATAGAGGAGTCTTCCGAACGTTCCATACAGCATCGATCTTTTAGACATTTCAATGTTTCTGATTTTAGTTCGAGATTTCGAGTAAGTTTTATTGCTCTGTAACATCGATTCACATTCTCATTCAAAGCATCGGCCAGCTGAGAGGGAAATTTTTCCATAAAATCTACCCGAGCGTGAAATCCACTTTCTACAGTGATATCATTTACTGCCTCTCGCCTAATCGCGTTTCACCGGGATCGTTATTCACCGGAAAGTCAGTTTAAATTTACCTGAAGAAATCCGCGGCTCTGAGATCCGGAAGAGGCGGGGTTCTGCCGCTGCCGCCGAAGGTGAACCTGGTCTCCTGGTGCGTGGGGATCGGCGTAGGTGGAGGCAGAGTCGTCGCGCCCTCGGCGCCGTTACTCGCGTTGTGACCCTGACTGATGGAGGAGCCGCTGGCCGTTTTATTGCCGCCGTCCGGTTGACCCAAGTCGAATCTCGAGCGCATACAGCGACCCGAGGGCCCGGCCATCTCGGTCCCGTCGAAGCCGCAGAGCGGGGTCGTAGGCGACGACGGAAGTGGTAACGGCGGTGTGGTTTGATTCGCCGGCGCCGCGACGGAGATCGGCGATGTGGGCGACGCCGGTGACGAGGTACGGCTGCCCCCGATCGTGTCGTCGGGATGTCCCCGATGACCAGCGGGATGGATGGATGATTGTTGCGACGGGGCCGTAGCGGGAGGCGACATTTCGGCCGGCACGTCGATTAGATCGAAGCTGTCGTCTGGCTGCTCCCCGTCTGTCGTCGTTACCTGGAGAACGGAAAAAAACCGTGTCAACCGATATATTTTAGTTACTGGTATTTTTTATGTTTTCTTTCGAAAATTACTCGAATTATGATGAAACTTAAAACATACGCCAAGGTACATCAAAATAATCCGAGTAGTTTACGAAATTTTTGAAAAAAAAAAAGCGAAATTTTTCCTTCAACTTTGATACCCTGTATCTTTAAAACTAATAAGTTTTCAGACATATATCATGCCTATAAAGTTTTCGTTTTGAATTTGTGTGAGAAGTCACCCTTTTACTTAATATCTATCCTGTATATACTTAGTTAAAATTAGCATGATAAAATAGCTGATTTGAAACAGAAAATTATCGATATACCTGTTTCAAAGCTTATATGTATATTGATCCGATTCGCCTCGGTCCATTCTACACTCTTAGCCATAAGTATAACCACCCCCATAAAATGACCGTTCTATATTTAACAAAACATAAATTAAAAATGGTTTTATTGAAAAATAATATTTATTTTTATAGCAATTTTAATATTTTGTTAGTTCGCCTTTAACTTTTATTATCACTTTTCCAAGAAAATGCAATAAATTTAGAGTGCTTTCTACTTATGGTAGTTTTTTGCCGTACTCAAAAATATATACAAATATATACAAATACACGTATAATAAAGTTCCCGCGAGTGTCAGCGATATTTCGTGTTTGAAATAATTCTTCTTTACTAAATATATTGAGACATGAATGTTTCGTGAACTATGTGAGCGATGAAAATAAGTGAACCGATTTTGACGAATTAAAACTTCAGAGATATAAACAGATAAATAACCATGTTTCAATTAGTTTTCAGTGAAATTTAACAAAGTTATAATTCAAAATATATATAATTTAACAAAAACACACGTATATAAAATATATAAAATATTATGAGATTTGAAAAGTTATGACTAATAACTTTTTTTGATAATTGTATTTAAAAAAAGTCAATTTTAAGCTCATGTCGGAAAATCTGAGTGATTAAATTTAAGGTTGTACAAAATATCTCACAAACTAAAGTAATTTTCTCCTTTCTTCTTTTTCTTTTTTTTCCACCTTTTAGGATATATAAGTATTTCAACTTTTCTCTAATTAAATTACCACCTCGCGTGCAACGTTTAAGATATTTCGCGTGGAGTCAGTTATTGCCTATCAAGCACCTATCAACTCGAGAAATTGATCGATGTGTCCGAGTTTGCGGAAAGTAAGCGAATGGAATATCTTCGAAATGGTCGGTAATCTAAAAAGATCGTTGGATATCTCAAACTGCCTCGGAGATATACGTTCGTTATTCCAAGAATAACGGACGCATTAATCACTCCCTTCGGTAGCATCCCACGAGGAAAAAAATATTCCACGATTCTCGTAATTGTTCATTTAACGCGGGCTCTTATTTGTTAATTCATTTAAAATTAATTCAAAGTACCGTACGCGAAAAGCGTAGACGACGGGGTTCTCGCACTTTGGTTTCATGCTTAACTGCAGATTGAAATATGAATACTAAGCACGCAAAGGTGCCCCCATTAAATCGCAAGGCGAAGAACATACACTTTTCTCCGGTATATAGATTCATTAAACGGCAAACATGGCAACGCGTTTCGTCGATATTGGCGTATAATTTAACTTTCTTCGGCGCTGCCGATGCAATACAGCGCACAGAACACGCGCACGCTTTACCAATTAACATACCTAATTAATATCGTGTAACAATATTTAATATCGCGTAATAATATTTAATGCTTACAAGACCGTAACCGAAGATTGTGTTTGACTTCAACATTGCTTCGCGCATGCAACGTGTAGTTTGCCGTTAATATTAATAATATAATATAATGGTAATGTAATGGCCATCGTTTTGTATACATTGAAGGCTTGCAGAGTTGTATCTAATAACGTTGTATAATAACGGACATTTCGTAAGTATATAGGTTGATCAGCTGTCAAAGTCCAAACTCGATCGTCTAATAATAACAATAGAAATGAATTTACCTTTTTATCTTGATTTTAATTCTAATTTTGATTTTAATTTTAGTTAATGATTATAATAACGTTTCTTGAAGCAATAAATGTCCGCAATGTGTTGTCGACGTATACAAATTGCGCGCATTCTACAGCATTTATTCGCTGGCATACCTATGCCACCCACGGTCCGGTCAAATTTGCACGCCGCCAACGCTGTTCAATGAAACGTGCTTGTCTAGCTTTCACGTGCTTGGCTATATAACTCGCCACTCACCATGGTGAGCATGGTGTTGGCGCTGTCGGTGCTCGTGTTGATCGTGGTCTCGGACGCCGTACTGGAGCCCATGACCACGACCTTCGGCACCGTGCGGCAGCTACGGCTGCCGCCGGCCGACTTGAAGTTGAACCGCCGGATCGCGGACGACAGAAGATCGCCGTCCCGACCGCCGCCCCCCATGTCGGCTCCTCCATGCTGCCCCCGCGATGGCTGCGACTGCGATGTATCCCCCGTGTCACCACACGCGCTACTCCCCAAGCTGCCACATCTGGTTGCCGACTCGCGATTCCTCGAACACCCCTGCAACAGCGCGGATTTACGGAGATTCGCGCGCGTCACCCTCCGTTCCGTCCGTCACACGGAGCAGTCAATCGGGACGATTAGATTGGAATTCGATAAGTCGCCGGGATAACGATACGAAAAGGAGGAGTTTGAAGGAGGAATTTGAATCCCCTGTTCCTTTCCGTCACGATTCTCTTTATACTGGTCTACCCAAGCAGAACGAGAAGTCATTATAACATCATGAGACACGGTAGTGTCTTAGTTCAGAATAGGTCAGAGACGTTATACTGGCTGCAAAATTTTTAGAAATTCATTTTTCACGATTCATATTCTAACGCTATTTTGTCGTTATCGTGATCTATTGTTTTGCTTGTTGAGTAAATTCAAGTTGATTTAATGATTACGATTATTAGGCAATATATCGATGAATAGCGATAATTATAGAAATCACAGAGAAAAAGGTTTCTTCAGATTTAGTATTCCTAGTTATTTGACTGATATTTTTGTTTTATTGAAACACAACATATGCTTATACGAAACATTATTTGTTTGAATAACAATTTTGTTATTTCGTTTAAAAAATCTTTATTACTTGACGGAACATTATTATTTGAAGTAATATCTTTCATGTATTATTTGATTACAATAAATGCAATTAATACGAACAATGAAACAAATCATTTATTTAAATAAAAATAGCAAAATATTTTGATATGCGTTGATATGTTCTATGCAATTTATTTAAAACAAAGATATACATTGTTTCAAATTCAAACAATCGTATTTATTGATTCAAACATTGGTTTGTTTAGACCATTCTAAATAACAAATTTGTTTGAATACATTAACATTTATTAAATTCAAAGAAATCGTTTTCTCTGCGTATCGATAATTATAAAATAGTTAAAAAAAAAAAGAAATGAAATGAAAAATTGTTGGATGTCTGATTCGCGCTTACTTGGGACTTGTGTTCCGGGGTGGACGGTGGATTCGGTGTGTTCGGCAGCGAGCCCCCTGCAGGGGTACAGTGCCGCAGTCGCGCCAGGGCCGTGCGAAGTCCCTCCGTCACGAGAACCTTTTATTGCTTCCGATTTCTCGCCACTACTTCCCGCGCCGCCTCCTTGATCCACCTCCGCGCGTGCCGCCTTCCGCCCGCCGTAGGAGTCACGTTCTCCTTACGGTCGCGCGGCAGGGTGCCCGAAATCCACCCTTCGTCGCTCGCCACGGGGATGATCGTACGGGGTGATCGCGGGGTAGTCAAGAGATTCACCAATCCGCTGCCTCGTGCCGCTGATTGTGTCCCGCGCCACTTATCAACCACCACATTCACCATTGCACAACTTCCTCCGCCCTTGCACAACCCTCCGTGATTCTCCTCTTTACTCCCCGTTTATCTTCTTTTCATTACCTAGGGAAACACAGAGTTGGGCAATAAAATCAATCATCGCGAGTACAGATTGCTCAGTCGTTCAATTAATGATTACGGTCATTGAACAATCAATGGTCGTAACTAATGAAAGTAATTAAAGTTAAGATAATCGTAGATCACGATTAAATTATTAGCTATTAAGAAAAACGAATAAGCTTCTTATTGATTTCAATTAATAGGATATTTTTTAAAGATTTTTTAAAGATTTTTAAATAAAATTTTCAATTATTAGTTATAAATAAAAAAAATTTTATATTAGCCATATGTCGTGTTGAAGAGAGTGGAGAGAGGAAGAGAGAGAAAGAGAGAGAAAGAGAGTTAAAATTACTCTTAATATAACTCTCATTTTAAATTCATATTAATAATTCACGTTATTCTAATAAGTTTCTGTCACGATTGCATATAAGAATAATTTTTCGATGATGGCACTTTTTACGCATGAAAATATTTTTTTTACCACAAAGTATCAATGTGCAATAAATATTATAAGTAAAGTCTTTTATTTCGTAATTATCGATTAATGATCAATGATTTACGATTATAAGTAGTTCTTCTGATAAGCGATCACTTTAGTTGGTCTACTAGTGATTAATTTAATCGCAAATATTCTATTATGATACACCTCGCTTTTAGCCGGTTTTAGACCAATGTTCTTCTTCTATTATAAAATATTTATTAGCTACATGCTATCCGTCGTTTACGTTTTATTTATCGACAATAGAAGTACGGCGAGAAATTGTTTATGTTTTATTCATCCACGAGAGGATATTAGACGACAGAATTCTCTGCTATCTATTAATCAATTGCTAATCATCATAAAAATAATTACTTTCCGATACCGGCTGGAAGATCAGACACCGTAAATAGCAATCCCCTCTCTGCGATTTAACGGCAAGTTTTACGGCAGGCTTGCTTGGACAAAAATTCGAGAGCGGCGTGCGAATATTGAAGCCTATACACACTGAGCCAGAGTTTTGCAATATTGTATCTCGGGTGCGGAATAAAACGCAAAAGTCCCGTATTCGGTGCGAGACAACGGCATGTGCCCGGTCGTGGCAATTTTCATTTTAGATTCACATCAGTTACCGTACACGCGATTCGACGGGACGTTAGTATTTATCATATCGGAAGCAGCAGCGGCAAAAAGTTTCTATTAACGCGACTCTCGCAATGACGTGCCTTGAATAAAATAAACACCGAAGTCGCGTGCACGAAAAGAATAATAATTTAAATTCGACCCGTGATTCTCTCTGAGATTTTTTCTTTTTCCATGAAACTTCGCCGTCTCACGAAATACTTCAAATTAATATATCTTGCCGTCCGACGATATATGTTTCCGACGATCTTTTTTAGGATTTTTAGTACTAAAAATAATCACCGCCCATGTAATAATTAATATTATACTTATGTAGCTCAAGTGTAATCAATGTCGGGCTTAAAAAGTTACGGCAATTAAAATCAATGAATATTAATAAGTAAATTAGTAAAAACAAAAATTTCCATGGAGATTTATATATTTTCTTTTCACATTTTTTTACTTTCGCTTACAAGGATTGTTCGAAATATAACACATAATGTGATTTTACATATGATTTTAGATCTTTTGTAAATTTTATCTTTTATATAGATTAATCTAAATATTTTAAGGTATGTGTGTCAAGTAGTTTGTATTTTATAGAGCTTCAAAGTTGTTGCAAATTCGAGTAAACGGAGTGAACGAATTCTTCTTTTTGAAAGCTAAAACGGCCGAAATAAAATCTGGAGTTGGACGATGTTCTTAAGGTAGGTAGCCGTTTTACTTTTCAAAAAGAAGAATGTGCTTGAATTTCAGTTATTTTTAGTTTTCCTAGGTATGACAAACACAACAACTTTGAAACGCTATCAAACACAAACTATTTGACAGATCGACTTGATAATTTGACTTAAATATTTACATTAATCTTTTAAAAGATGAAACTGTTCAACTCAAAATCATGCGAAAGATCACATCTATCTATGTCACTTAAAAAAAAACTTTTCGCGAGCAGCCCTCGTATTTAATATTTTTAAAGCAAGAGGTAAATAGAAACTTTTACGTAACTTTTAAGTTTTCAAATGTCTGTCAATATCGCTATTTATTGACGAGTTAAAGAGAGTCTTGTTATATTCAAATATGCTTTAACTTCATTTTAGTTTCTCATCTCTACAGAATTCCAACTAAACTAATAAACGACCCATAGAATGCGACGAGATCTTATCATTTGATTCCTATAAAAATATGTGCACCATGATTACGTTTAACGAGCGAAGAGGTCATAAAGTTAGTTTGCACCGAACTCTCGGCACGCAGCTGTCGTTTACCGTGTTGCAGTAAGCCATCTGGTCAACTTCCCCCTATTACTTTATACTATATCACTCATCAATCTCTCTCTCTCGGCCCGGCCATACTAAGCCCCCGTTACTATTAACGTCCCCGTTGCAAAATGTTCTAATTGCGCTTTCGAAGCATGTTCGTCACTCTCTCTCTCTCTCTCTCTCTCTCTCTCTCTCTCGCCCTTTTCGTAAAATTCCGAACGTCTGTAAAAGGAGCACAAAGGGACCGGGTGAGGCGAGGCGAGGGAGACGTGTGGCTACAAAGGGAAACGCGCGCGTTTCTACTTGACGTACGTTCGCTTTACGTACGTTCTACGTAACGTCTCGATTCGACGAGTTCGATTTTTTTTTTCGATTCGTTCCCCATCTACGTCCGACACATTTCAAAAAATCTTGAGAGGACGAAATCGCGCGCGCGCATGACGCGCGCAACGCGCGATGACGCGTGCTCCGGGGAAAAAAATTGCGCTCGTAAATCAGGCGCGGTGGAACGTATTACGCTCATAAATTGATGGAGAAAGACGTATCTGTTAACCCCCTCTATTGAGAACGGAGAACTGTAAGGTATCTGCAAATTTGTGCTCGAAGTAAGGGAGAATCGATCTTCCGCGCTCACAGTTTTCGAAATCGCGGATTGAATTTATTGTTATTACGTCTCTCCGTTGAAGCATCTCTCATCGCTAGTATCTCGTTTACATTCGCTCTGAAACGTTTTAACGAGGAAGCGGCACGTGTGTAGATGCAAATAGGGTAAGTGCACTAGACTGTGAATCGGACGCTGAAGAATTCTGGATAATTTATTATATTTAAATATCGTTATGTATATTTTTATATTTAAAAATAAAATGTCTATCTTTATATTTAAAAATAAAATTTCTATTTACCATTTACATATTATGTATTTAAATATAGTTATTGTATTTTTCAAAGAATGATATATATACATCACAAGATTCTTTAACATTTGTATTAACTTTATCAATTGTCAATTATTTCATGATTATTAACAACGCTAGCATATTCGATGTCATTAAGTAATAAAATGTGGGACGTCGATTTGGGTGTTCTTTAAAAATTCATTCAAAGCTTAATATCTATAACGATTTCTTATAACTTTTACAAGAGATAGTAAATAGCATTAAATTTCATGAAATAAGTCAACATTATGCTCAATTAAAATTAAATATGCTTCACGAGTAATTTGATCCGTAACTAGACATAAAGATCTAATTATGGATAGTCATTATGTCGTTCAATTAAAAGTTAAAAAAATATAAAATACCACTGAAATGGAATAAAATCGTCCATAAAGTGTTCCTTTATGATTAATGACAACTATTAAGTATATTACTGATTGTTATTTATTTAATATCTTTCTCTGGATGAAAATATGAATTTTTAGCCTTAGGATGATTCAGAACTAGTGCCACCTTATTCTATATAAAGCTCAATTTCTTCCTGCCTCTCCCCCCCTCAAAATCGTAGATAGGTCTGACAGGTTAATTTGCAACAGTTATATGCATATTTTCGCAGAACGAGGAGGATATGAGTTTACAGAAATAAATACATATTTTACGAGGCTTTGATAGTTTTGACACAAGACTCGCACGCAATGCAGATTAGTTATTACGTTGGACAACGTTCGGCAGCGTCGAAGGAAAAAAAGAAAAGAACAGAAACAACTCGCTATTCCGTCGTAACAATATGGAACACCACTTTAACACGAAGTTTCAAAAAATGTATAGCCGAGGTAATTACGACGGCTATTGTTTTATAAAAGCTTTTTTAACTGTCGATACACAATCCCGAATCGTTTATTGTATAAAATCTAACGAGAAAAAAAATACGGGGGGATGACGCGCGTTCGCCGCTGCGCGAGTTCGCGCAGCGGCGCTTCCAATCCGTCGTGTGCAATATCCTATTTTTCGTTCGGGAGCCATCAAAATCATTTCGCGCCACAAAGAATTAACCCTTCCTCCGTGTTAACTGTTTTACACGAGTTAACAAACGGCATTATATTTTCACGTCCACGTTATCGGCTTTGTATCCGCGCCTGAGCCGCCGCTGTATCGGATATGCGCGTTAAATATACCTAACGCTGAAAAGCGCGCGACAATATTTTCACCGCCATTTGTCATATAAACGGTGAATTAGCTTTTCCGGATATTACCGGTTGCGTGGAGAGTGCCGATGCTGTGTGAGTGCGTGTGCGTTTCTCTCAGTCGCACGCCCTTTCCCACAG